AAAATAAAAATTAGAAAAGAAAGGTTCAATAGAAAGTAGAGAAGAAAACAACAAATGAAAAAAGAAAAACTCAATAAAAGGCAGACCTAACAAGAGAAAAGTAAAAAAGCAAAAAAGAAAGGGAAACAAGACATTGATTATGTTCGGTTTGGGTTGAATGCTTTAATAATCATCAGTTATTCTTTGCAAAAATTTGTACACGTTTGTCAAAGAGAGATGATGATGTGTGTGTGTGTGTGTGTGTGTGTGTGTGTGTGAGTGTAAACACACTCTGACCCTTTCCGATTATTATAATGGGGAGCATTTTCCCTTAGCTTTTGGATTGAATTACTATTCTATTTACCAATAGAATGAATTTCTTCGAAAAATTCACTTTCTCGTCTCTAGGCTAATGTATGAGTGAAGAATATTAAAAATTCTTCCTTTCTTCCCTTCATTTTAAGTTTCTTCTCTCTATCAATTGCGCTCTCCTATTAAAACTAAAGACAATTGATATGAGTTTAATAATAATTTAGTTTCTTTGTCTAAAATCCCTAAATATGTATATATATATATAACAACTTCTTGGGTAAATAGTGGCAGCTGAAAGAGAAAAGGGCAACATGAGATTTCAAATAGCCCGTTAAATTTTCTTTTTTTTTTCGATCAACGAACGAAAGATCAAAGCAGTTGTTTTAATTTGTCGTAAACGCTCACATTTGCCGATAGCATATGCAGTTTAAGAACGATTCGGTCCATCTTCCTAGATATTGAAATTGAAATGGGAAATCTACCAGATCCGTACAAGAATACCGTTATAGCAGTACATTAAATTGAACATCTGAAAATATGAGCAAGAGCTGCTATGAATAGCATCCCATTAACGCCTATAATGCCATGTATCCCTCTCTCTTTCCCCCCCTGCATTGACTTGCCAATTTGGTGTGCATTTTTAGGATCTTCATCGTCGCAAAATTTGACGTAAAACGAGAAAACAGAAAACTTACTCTCGCTGATATCCGATATTTGTTTCTATTTTCAAAACCGACTAACCAAAAACATAGGTTAGAAACTAAAGTCAAAGTAACTGTAAACTTGTTTTTTTTTTCCTCTTCGCAGTGCCTCTTTCGCAGCGGGCGAAAGGCATTAAGAGAGATCGGCGAAAAGCGAATGATATTGTAAACGAAACTTCCAAATCTTCCACTTTTTGCCCAGCAACTGAAGATGGGTAAGCCGTTGTGGTGATCGAAGAGAGCGATTTTTCTATTAATCAATTTTATGCCGCAATGGAATGGCATTAGTTGCTCATGGCATAGGAAGTGATCAATCAGTCTAGACTATTTGGAACAGTTCATGATGCCCAGTTCCTTTCTAATTCCGTTAAACACAAACCATCCCATTACGTATCGTCAAAGTAGACTTTGCTGTCGCTTGTGTAGCTTTCTCCCCTTTCGATTCCATCTTTATGCGAAAATGTTGTCGTGTGTGACGCCCTTTGTCAACCTCCTCAAGGGCTAGCTTTACGTTGTACGCCCTACGCACTTGATGGGACAAAATACCGTTCAATTTTGGCATTAGCTGAAAAAGTGTTAATGTAATTCTTCATGTGATTTACTGCTTTTAAGCTAAGTGCTTTGCTAAATGCAATGAACGTCCCAAATAGATAGAGGCAATAGAAAATGTAGAGGAAATATCCTAAAAATTATTCTCGCTAATCGAAAAGTGAATTCGCAAGAGTCGTGTTAATGATTCGCTGAATGCTGTTTGGGTTTGATAGCACTATAAAGTGAAAGAACTTGTTGAGAGTTGTGCAAAATAATGAAAAAGTCTTAGTTGGCCGCCAATGATTGACGACTTTGAGAAAGTAAGGCCGTGAATAATGAATGCTGTATAGCATTTTTGGTTCGGTTGATTGATGATGGATGGGGAAAGAGGGAAGATGCTTTTCGACCTATATAATGTAATGGCAAAATAGCATCAATTGAACCTAATACGATCTATGGGAAAAGCATCGAAACCTTAGAGCAACGTTAAAGTGTTCGTATTATGCTAGAAGACGGCTATGTGGATGAATAACATTGAATTTTTGAACAAAAGTATTTTGCTTTATCCCGCGAATTATTGACTAGTTTATTGTATGTGTGCGTTTGCAAACTGAAAAAATTTCTATTATCCTTGAAGTCCTTATTTAAGTGCATTTTAGCTTACCAATAAAAAAAGAAAAAGCAACATTTCATTTAAATAGAAAGCAAATCCTTCGAAAAGTTATCCTTTTTAACAACAGAACAAAAAAGAAATAGAAACTAAATCCTTCAAAAAATTATCTTCGTAAGCAAGGAATAAAAGGTTTTGTTTAGAGAAGGCAAAAGAACAGGGCGGTTTGCGTCTTCTGCAACATTTGAGATTCATTAAAACAGAGATTTCTAGCTTCAATCCAAGACATACTTCAGTCAGTTTAACGATGATAGCTCTTTTATTAAAGGGGAAATCAGTAAAAAAAAAAAAAAAAAAAGGCAAAAAAACGAAAAAAATCAAGCAAAATAAGTACTTGGTTTAAATGAAATCTTCATTAATCAAATCGAAAACGTACAATTGACCTCGAAAAGAAACGTAAATGATTCATTGACACGCTAATGTCCAGAATACAATACACATACACATATTCGTGAAAAGAAAATCCCGCATAGCATAGAAACAAAATTCAATACATTGCCTAAGCACACTACGTCTCATACAAATTGCCTTACCAGGCTATTAACTATTATTGTTTAATCATATACGGGTAGAGTGAAAGCTTTAATAAAAGAATTACGTTAGCGAAAAAGTTTTTGCTGCGAGTTAAGTTAATATAAATGATTTAATATTGAGTGCTTGAATACATTTAATATGATTACGGATAATGAATGAAATCAAATGCAATATGCAATCGCCAGTCGTCGGCTTAAAGTTGGACGAAAATAGAAATTGATGGTATTTTCAAAAGAAAACTTAACAATATTCATATGTAGTATCCCTTTAAAGAAATTCAAATATATTCTAATATACATCTACGACATAGATGTAATACGTGTACGTACGCATAAGCCGCTTATGGCCATAATAATATATTGCAAAATACACAGTTGTACGCAATAAAGTTAAATAAAAAGTTTAAAATGGTAATTGGTAACAGTGAAGGGGAAAATGAAAGAAAAAAATATTGTAAGCAACATATTAAAGATGGATTGCTTTAATATAGATTATTCGTGTGTATGGGCGTGTACATATATATATATATATATATATATGTGGAATCGCATTTGATATCAGTTTGGTTTTGTAGGTTAAACAATAGTAATTCATTGTGGCTTTAGATATAGATTTAAACAACAGCAAATGCAGACAAAGCCAGCACCCATGCGCACAAACGTACGTACCGTCACATTTATAAGCAGAAAATGCTGCTCTCTCTCACCCCGTTCGCAAGTGAACACAATAGCAATAGAGGAAAAAATCAACTTTTCGTAACTTTAGCTTTGAAAACATAGAACATCATTAGCATCAACAATAAACATTTGCTCTGTATGCATGAGCAAACACACTA